GTAAAAGCTCGGGTAGGTGAAAGGGTCTCATCAGACCCTGTGATTACAAATGCTGTGTCCTTGCTGCTTTACTGCCTTTACAAGCCATAGTTTTTTGTATAAAGGCAACTTGTAAGGACACAGTTTTTAGACAGACTTCCAAAGCACCATATCTTCATGTCTAATGACCTAGAATAACTTTGAGTAAGCGTTAGTTTAAATATACTTTAATATAAGTAATTATCTCGGTTGAGTCAAAGTTGAGAAAAATTGGGGTGAGAAAAATGAGCATTAAATAATAAACAGAATTAAATAAAATTACTAATTTCATTAAGTAAGATTTGGATGTGCCTTGATGTGCCTTATCTCAGTATGCTATTGTATTGATCACCTTAAAGTATCATAAAGACTTCATGATACTTTTATGGTGTATTGCATCCTCTTTGGCGCTAGAAAGCTTCAGTCCCATTGTATTTATAAAAACAGTGACCAGTATGGTCTTCAGAATTTCTCCTTCGTGTTCTGGCATATGATGAGTTTGGATGATGTTTAAATAATCACAGGTTTTTCTTTTTTTGGGGGGTGAGCTAATCCATTAAGGGAACCTGGGACACATCTTGAATGCACAGGGGAAGAGCTGCCTCACAGAAGGCGAGATGCTGTGCTGGATTTATGGCAGCAGTGAGGCCATTACCTTCAGGTGCTTGCTGCCAGCAGAGTTGCACTTTCAAATGGCAGTGATGCAAAAACATGCTGATGTTTTTGTACCTTTGGCATTTAAATACTAAAGATCCAGCTAAATCCCGGAAGGCCAGTCTGTTCGAGTGCAGAAGAATATCAGTGGATTAGCTTTATCAGACACATACTGGTGATATATTATCACCATCAAACCTTGGGATTGATATTCAGGAACAAACTGCAGGGAAAAAGAGAGATAAAGACGAGGGTAAAAGAATGTCCTTTGTGTATAAAGTCCACAGAACAATCTCAGTCCCTGTTAGGTTCAATGGTCTAGTTTTACAGCTCACTGACTTCCATATCTTATCCAGAGAGAGCAAAAACGAGAGAGCGAGTTTTTTGGTGTTCATGGAAACATTCCTGAGGATTACAGTAACAGGTGTCGTTCATACAAAGCTGAATGTGGTGGCATGGCCTCTTAATACGATATCTTTCGATCACGGTCATGAAACCTGTCAAAAATGGTGCATTTAAATCTGATATCTGGTGTGAGATTTAGTCATAAGAAATGTTCCTGGTGTAGCAGGTAAACAACCTGGTTCCAGATATACCTGATTTAGCTGACTCAGATTGGGAATTCTTTCCTTGTAAAAGGGTGAGACAGGAAATGCTGTGTTACCGCAAGTGCATTCTGCTGCTGGAGAGTCATGACACTGGATTTGATTTCACACTTTGAATCCACCTCAATATATCCCACACATACCACACCCAGTATAGCTCTGTGCATATTCAAGTGGCTGAAAGGTAATGTAAACCAGGAATTGTGATTTATAAACATCTTCTGTAAATCACAATGTGGGACTTTTTTCCTGTGAAACCATGTGTCATTATTACCACCACAAGTGTAGTTAAAAAAAAAAATAGAAAAAAAATAGAAAGCACAAACACATACTGGCAAAATACAAGAACAAACAAATGCTAAACAAAATGTCTGCTCCCATTTAAACAGCTTTTAAATGCTTGAAAATGATTGATGAGTGCTATTTGTCAGTATTTTCCTATTCTTTTGAAGAGTCTTGAACAAATAATCCTGGAATGTGGATGTCTGTGTTTATATGCATATGCTTATGCATGTCTGTGATGGTAACATCTAACTTTAACACTTTATTCTTGGTTGTTATAATCAATGTAATAACAGAAACACTGATTATCACCTAGTATCAAGATGCATAACATTTTTTTGTAAATGTGAATTTTATATATATATATATATATATATATATATATATATATATATTCAGTAGAGTTGAACTGAGCATTCTGGAGTGTGATTAGCCAGTGTTAGTACATTCAAGGTCAGGTTTATTATTGCCATTGTATTAACATTTTATTATTATTTTTAGAAACATTCTCTAGAAACAGAATGCACAGGTATGTTTGGAGTACTCCTGTTTTCATTAGGAAATATTTTCCAGAGGTTTCTCTTATCATTGGGGTTTAGTGCCAGTGGTGGGGAGTGAAGACACGGTGGGCTTAGTTCTTAGAAACATTCTCAGATCCCAGTCAAGGCTGCCAGTCTTCCCTGGAAGGATAGTCATGCTGTTTTTACTTTGCAAACAGAAAACAGCATAAATACATAACTTGTATGTGGTGGATCGTTATCTGGATCATGATTAATGGACAAACTTAGTTTGGTTTGATTACCGTTTCTGTGAAATTACTCTAAAATAAGCACTTTTGTTCTCTTAAAGAGCTCAGACAAGCATTCTGAAAGTTTTGTGTTTGATGCAAATACTTGGTGTGTATTTTTTTTTCCTGAAATGTATTTGGAAACAAATACATTGATGTCGTTTTCTATTAATTGAATCAACCGAATATTTAGTTAACATAACAGATTATTTCACCATTCAAGAGTCAATACATGTAAATTATTAAGCAATAAAGATTATTTTACTACACTTTGCAACATTATTATGACCAGTAAGACCACATATTCCATGTGTTAAGTTTCTCGATTAGGGCAAGAATTAAGGCATAGCTATACATTTTCCTGCCTATTACACGGCTATACTCACTCACAAAATAAAATAAATATTTGGACAGGAAATGTTGATTTCAGTTGAAACAATTTTATAAGTTTACCTTTATATTTTCTTAAAACTTCCAATAAGAAAAAAAAAAAACATGGTCCATTACAATATACAAAACAATTTGCCTAGCAACAACACGAACACTGCAGCAATATTACAGTTTAGAGCAAATATTATGCAACAGTAGGCTAACTAAATTAATCAGCTGTTCAACAGATATAAGTGCTTGCCTGAAATGACTGTCCTTTACAATCATCACTCTTAATTCTCTGGTTTATAATACACTTGATGCCAGAGTTCAGCAGAGCCCAAAACGTTCCATTGCATTTTGAACAAATTACTATGATTATGATAATGATGATGAGTATTATTATTTTTTGCTAATATTATTTTATAAGCAGAAAAAATATTTAAAGTTCCATCACGCCAGAGCTGACAGATCACAGCAGGACTTCATAAACAGACTGAGAGGTGTAATGATTCTTCTTTTTTCTTGTATTGAGGAACAGCTTCACTGCTGAGTGATTGAAGACTTCCTCTGCTAACATCGCTTGGCCAAATTCTCCAAAAGGGAAAACATGATTATAATGCGATCGCTGTGCGTGTACAAAGCTTTGAGGACTATTATAGGCACATCTGGCCTCACTGAGCATGCCTGCTTACTGTCTTTATCATCTTCAATTAAGCCTTGGCCTGATCAAAGATCCCTTTCACTGATCAGAAACAATGCATTCAGCTTTGTCCAACAGTGTTAGGAAAGAACTAGTTAGGGCCAACTGTAATACAACGCTAAGAATAGAGTTCACATTTGTCAATGATTTATTGTTCTTGCAAACTACCAACTGGATAGTAGAGAGAGAGAGAGAGAGAGAAACAGGGCCTTGACAAAAATTAATTTTAGTTCAACAAAGGTTTGTAAACAACTGTAGATCTTTACATCATTTGTTAGTCTTGCCATTCAGGCTGGTGATCATATTTCCACTATATTGGAATCTTAACACCAAATATCCACTTCTCTGATGCAGATTAAGGTTGACTTTTATGAATCTCCCAGCATGTTTGTACGTACAGTATGTACAATGTACCTAAAAAGTGTTGGGACATCGAGTCACAATTAAATTATCAAACCAAACAGCATCTGCAAACTATTAACTATGGACGTGTTGCACTAAGTTTGTAAGCAAGGTGTCCAAATGCATTTTTAAACAGTATAGCAATTATTTTATCATAATAAATGTTAACAAACTTGTTTTAATGAAATGTTTTGCCTGAAAAGTATGATATCTTTAAAAGAAATGCCACTTGGTTTGATACCTTATCACTTTATCAATAAAACTGATATATTTTAAATGTGACTTACACGTCCAAATACTTTTTGTGGCCACTGTGTGTGTTTCTATTCCAAGATAATTGCGCTTTCAATTTATGCTCTAAAGTTTTCCACTTCCTCAGACAACACTGCGCCCTAGTGGTTGCAAGACAACTTAAACTAACACAAAGAAGTTCTGTACACCATGATACATTGCCTTGAATTTTTATTCTATGAAGTAGTAATCAATCACTAAAGCCTTAATTGAATGTTTAAAGGCAGAGTAAGTGATTTTTCAAAAACGCTTTAAAAACTGATTCGGGCCGAATCGCAAAACAAACTTGTAGCCAATCAGCAATAAGGGGCGTGTCTACTCATGATGTGGAGGAGAGCGCGTTCAGTGCATGGGACGGACATTAGCCGAGCGACAGAAAGATAGAGATGGCGGATAAAAAACAAAAGAGGAAAACGTCTGCGGAACGATAAGGCAAGAAGTAGGACACGTGTAAATATCGTATCAGCTTTCCAGCGCAGAGCTTTCAGTGCATGGGACGGACATTAGCCGAGCCGAGCGACAGAAAGATAGAGATGGCGGATAAAAAACAAGAGGAAAACGTCTGTGGAACGATAAGGCAAGAAGTAGGACCCATGTAAATATCGGATCAGCTTTCCAGCGCTGGAGAGAACTCAAGGAGCGGAGGCCTGCGATCGGACGCCGAGGTTGCTATGTTTCTTCTCAGTAGGTGAGTAACACCGTGTCTACAACAGCTAAAGTCTGGCTACACTGGACGCGATCAAACGACCGTTGAAAACCATTTGAAATGTGTGTCAGCACGTCATAAATAGAACCCGGCAGCAGTTTTCTGTCGGGATTTGTTGCGCCGCGCCGCTCACGTCCGTAGACACGGTGTAACATTGGTTTTGCTTTGTTTCACAGAACTAATCGTTGCCTGGGTTGCGTACGTATGTGTGGGGCGGAGCTATCAAAATAGGGGCAAGACCCTTTTGGGTTAGGGGCGTGGTTGTTTTGGCGATTTCAAATATAAACATTGGCTACCAGAAATCCCTTACTCTGCCTTTAAAGGTTGAAGATTCAATATGTGGTTGGATTCTAGGTTAAAGGGAAGTGAGACTTTGGCTTCACGCCAAGGAATATTTGATTAGATGACTCATACGATACTGGCAGTCAACGACACTTTGTGTTGGTGTGCATGTTCCCATGTTTTAGAGTACAATTTGTTCATTGGTGAGTAAATCTGCGGCTAAAGTGTAAATCATGACTAATGCTGTAGTTAAACACAAATGACGGGAAAGTCTTTGACAGGAAGTCAAGGGGGTTGGTTCACCATCTCACCTGATGACAGACTGACAGAACAGGACGACATTACAATCAAAAACAATAAGTGTCAATGGTAACTTGGTGTACTCAAACAAAACTTTGTGTGTGTGTGTGTGTGTGTGTTAAAAGGTATTGACCTAAATAAGTGTTGATGGTGCACAGCTCATAATTGCGCAAAATATAAACAAATTTGACTTAAAATACAAAAATGTCTCTAAAAGAAAGTGTTTTAAATGATGCGTCATATGGGCGCATGAGCGTCACTGCAGAAATTGTGCTGAAGAATATTGGACACAAGCAATAAAAAGTCAGTGATATCTGATTAATGTCTTTCACGCTGTCTCTTCACTGAGTTAAAATAATTCCCTCAATCCCTCATCAGTCTGAGATGCACGCTGATGCTGAAATTTCAACACATTTCATCAGTTAGTGTCTCCACTGATGCAACCATGGAGGAGGAGAGAGACACTCAGTGTCCAAGGTGAGAAAAACACACACTGACTCAACTAGAACATTCTTCAAGCATAATTTAAATGTACAGTCTTATGGTGAAATAAAACCAAAGGTTACCCCACCCCCCCCCCTTTAGAAAATCAAATGCCCCCCATTTTGTATGCTCTGGCGCACACTCTGCTGTTAAATTTTGCAGCAGTGTGCAGGTCTATATGAGTATGTAAATGTTTCTGAGTGCTTCATGAGTTCACTTGATTAGCTGCTGCTAGAAGTGATGCAAATAAAGAGTTCGGCCTCTGTACCAGGTCCTGTGGTGGATCAAACTCAACCACCTGGAAGAAAACATAAAAGTAGGCTCATACTGAGTACTTCAATGATGCTATTATATACTTATAATACATGTGTCGATTGCAATGTCAATTTCTATATAAGAAGCAGTGGATTACCTTGCCCTGGTCCATGACGAATATGCGGTCACTCTCCAAAACCGTGTTGATTCTGTGGGCGATTGTGAGCATAGTGCAGTGCTGGAAACCATCTCTGATGGTGTGCTGGATCATGCTGTCAGTCTCGGAGTCTATAGACGCTGTTGCCTCGTCCAACAGAATGATCTATGAACACAATTTAATCAGACTCTTTAAGAGCAAGGAATATTTTCGAGGGGATTCTGGGTGTGTTTGTGTTCTTACTCTTGAATTGCGAAGCAGCGCTCTGGCCATACACATGAGCTGCCGCTCTCCGACCAAGAAATTCTCTCCATTCTCCACTACTGGAGAGTGCAACTTCTCTGGCAGTTTAGCAATCTGCAAGAAAGAGAAAGAGGGGTGTGGATGATTTAACACCTGAATGCCTGCGTGTTTCTTTTATATTCTATGACTATTATATTCTGTTGCTGTTCCTCTACTCTTTTTTATGTTACCATGTCCCAAAGCACTGAGAGGAATTTAAGCAGATGTTACGTCTATGTTTCATCACTAACGTGCATAGTAACATGCCCACTCATATATTGTGATTTTCCTTTGCTCTCTCGATAAATTATATCCTCACATAAAAAGCTAGATTAACTTAATAATGTTTGAGCTGCTCCTAGTAGAAACTGTGACTGTTGAAATCACAATGAAATCATGGCACCCCACTGATCAGCAGAAAAGCAAACTTTATCATAATGAGTGAGTGGAGTTGAAGTGCCAATTGATCAAATGCTGACTACTTATACAAAAAGGTATTGTTCATCAAGTTTGAAACTTCTGAAGCCTAGCTGAAAAAGTGTGAGCATCCAAGCTGTTTTCTACTGTGTAAAACATGTATTGCTTGTAGGCCTCATATAAGTCTTTACCGTGTCCTTCATGTAGTTCTTTTCTAAAGCCAGCCAGAGCTCCTCATCTTTGTAGTTGTTAAAGGGGTCCAGGTTATACCTGTATAAAATAATCACACAAACAAACACATTAGTCACCATGAAATTTAAATCAACAATTCTCATTTTTTCATGGAATGTTGCAGTGTTTATTAAAATGATTTATCTGTGCAAATCATTACTTTTTTAAAACCATTCAAATAAAATGTGTAGCTTGAAATAAAATATAAAAAAACGTACCCAGACAACATTTTTCAGTTTAACTTACTAACATAACTACAACTAAAAATGAAATAAAAATGTATAGAGACATTTTTTTTTTAAACTAGACATTTAAATGGAAAAAATATCTTAAACTAAAAACTATTTCTACATTTTAATAAAAACAATAGTACACTCTCAGAAAAAAGGTAAAAAAGCTGTCACTGGGGCGGTACCCTTCCAAAAGGTACACCTTTGTACCATATTTACCCCAAAAGGATGCATATCAGTACATATTACTACCTGAAGTGCACATATTAGTACATTTTGAAAGGGTACTGCCCCATTGACAGCTTTTGTACCTTTTTTCTGAGAGGGTACCATATCAATGATACTAAAGTAACACTGCTCTTCTCTGAAGAGGTGTATACTGGAGTGAGGGCTGGGCAAAAAGGTTGTCCAATACCAAGATAAGTTTCAATCGCTCTTGTCCAGCAACCATGTCACTCAGATGAAAAGCTCAGAGAAATTAGCAAACGACAACAATCCAAATAAATTCCAGATGGACAAAATCAAGCGCTACATTTTTCCATCTGAGAAGCCATTTAATTTGGATATACATCAGATTCAGAAATGGATATACATCAGATCAGAAATGTACAAGATTACAATATACAAAAAATTGTAGAAAAATGTAGATTAAAGTTGTAAGTATAAAGATAATTGCCAATTTATTTTTCACAATTGCAAGTTTTTGTAATTGCAAATTAATAATCTCACAATGGCTGTTGCCCAATTCAGTTTCAAGTAATTTTCAGACAAAAACATAATTCAGTGAGGTGATGCACTGGTAGAATAAGTACCTATTGTGAATAAAATAGGAGAAGAGTGGAAAAGTTGAAAGGTGAGAGGTCACCTGACAGTGCCGATGAAGAGTACAGGATCCTGCGGTATGACAGAGAGTTGGCTGCGAAGATCTCTCAACCCCAGCTTGCAGATTTCCACATCATCTATAAATATAGTGCCCTCAGCCAGCTCTGCCAAACGGAACAATGCTACACCCAGAGAGGACTTCCCTGAATCAGAAAGAGAGGGTCAACAAATGAAACCAAGAGAAACAGATCTAGCAGAACATCCTTGTTCTTAGTACAAATGCCTTTACTGATATGCACAAGCTGCTTTTTGCATTTTATGAAGGTAACAACATGTACATATTTTAGTACATATCACGACTTTCCATTTCTGAATTTAATTCAGTATACACCATGTCAGTATTAACTTATTACAATAATACATAAAAATTTAAAAATGAAAACATAAATTAAGCTTTGGATAAAACATAATATGCTCTCTCTCACCAGAGCCAGTGCGTCCCACAATGCCGACTTTTTCCCCTGGCTTAATATTTATGTGGAGATTATTGAGGACTATGGGCGTGTTGTCCCTGTATCTCATACTGTAGTTTTTAAAGGTAATGGCGCCCTCCTGTGGCCAGCTGGCGGTAATATGCGTGCCCTTGACACTTCGTGGACCCTCTGATACACAACTCTACAGCACACAAGCAAGCAGTCGTAACAAATAAAAGCTATGTTCTAAACTAAATATAAACGCATGATATACTGAGGTAAACCTAGTGTTTATGTCTCTTACCGTAATATACTCAAGCAGTCTCTCAACACTGGTAAACTTTGCCTCCACCTCGGTGGACAATCTCACCACAAACTGAAGGATCCCAGTCAACTTCAATGACAGAAATGCAAAAAATGTGCTCAAACATCCAGTTGAATTTGACATAATAAAGGCTTTCATTTTTTAAACTACTGTTTTAGTCTAGCTGTGAGAGTTACCTGTATTGTGTAAGATAAGGCCAGGCCCTTCAGAGAAGCGTTTATGGCCTCATTGGAGCTGAGCACTACAAAAAGTGCCACTATTAGAGTAACAGTAGCTGACAGGAAGTCTAACCAAAATGACAGCCAGCGAGTCCCACAATTAAACAGCATGAAGTGGTTTGAGTTGGTGTCACTCAGCATTTTAAACCTGTCATTGGAAACACACAAACAATAGCCTACATGACTTTCAATTAACTGGCTTGCTTTCTACATTCTTTTAATATGAAATCAACATACAGTCAGTTAGACCGAGCTATTAGTGACAGCTTCTGTGTGAAGAACAAAACTATTGGTTTTTAACTATTACTACTGAGTTCTCTTTAAAAGCCACAGCCCTTATGGCCTAAAATGTATTTCAAATTATACAACAGTTAGTTCTGGTCCTTGAATCTGTTTGGCCGTATATGGTCCAACAGCACTGGGTCTTTTTAGTGTCTCTCTCTGCAGGTTACATCATTACACCAGTAGGTGGAAACAAACAGCTGTCTTTGAGTCATTGACTCAACTGAAAAAAAACACTAAATCAGAAACAGACAGAGTAACCTGCAATATTGTGTCTAAAATGTACGTCACAATTCAATTTCAGTTTCAATATTAACTTCTTGTTTATTGGACTGTTGCATAAAAGCAATATCACACTCATAATCATGTTGTTGGTCTAAATATTAACACTCATGTTTGCCTGCTATTGCTCAGGTATGCTGAATAATTACTGAGTCATTCTGGGATATGATTCATGATGGTTATAATGATGTTTCATATTCATTTTGGCAAGTACCACAATATGTTTCCCAGCGCTGTTTGTCTTTCTAAAATATTTTCTAATATAAATTAATATCTTAAAGGGATAGTTCACCCAAAAATTAAAATTCTGTCATTAATTACTCACCCTCATGTCGTTCCAAACCCATAAGACCTTCGTTCTTATAAAGTCGTTATTTTTGTTTTCTTTGCGCACAAAAAGTATTCTCGTTGCTTCATAACATTACAATTGAACCCCTGTCACATGGGCTATTTTAACAATGTCCTTACTACCTTTCTGGGCCTTGAACGTGTCAGTTGCGTTGCTATTTATGCAGGCTCAGAAAGCTCTTGGATTTCATCAGAAATTGCTTCATTTGAGTTCTGAAGATGAACGAAGGTCTTATGGGTTTGGAACGACATGAGTTCACCATTTTTAGGTGAACTATCCCTTTAATATATTTTCATAGATCCAAATATATTGATTGTATTATCTTACTGTTCAATGTACTGCTTTCTTTTGTCATAGGCATGGATGGTGCTGAGTCCCTGTATGGTAGAGGTGGTGAGAGAGATCCAGGGAGAACGACTCATGTTCTCCATCCTCTTCATCTGACGAATGCTCCTTTGGAAAACACTAGGTCAAAGAGAAAACACAGATGGTTTGTACATTCCATGGCATTATAACCTGTTTAGTGGATCTGTGATTGTAATGTTTGTATTCTACTTCTGGATTTAAAAAACACATCTTATGATGTTAAGGTGCAATGTTTATGTCTCACTATAGGATTGTGGCAAAGATGACTGCGAGAACTGCCACGGCAATCAGGAGGTATGGGAACACTATGCAGATCCCTGCCAAGGATCTGATAAAAAGTAGAGTCAAATGGTATCAAAATGCTGCAGTTCTCATTTTACTGAACAAATAGTATCACAATGCTTGCATTCAATTACTAAACCTACCTTTTCATATTATACTTGATCACTCACATTATAAAAATGAGTTCCTTTCCCATGAGGATGGTTTAGAGCAACCAATAATAATATATTATTCATATATTAAAATAATAAGTCTAATCTAAAATTTAAATTCTAAAAAAAACGATTGTTTTTGCTGGAAGACTTCTGGAATCATAAACTGAATCATGGTTAATTAATCTACTATATCACTGTAAATCTACTATAATATATCATCTGTAAAAAAAAAAAAATCAAAAACAAGCAGCTTTGTCATAATTAGAAATAGTGGAAATACTGTATTTTATAGCTTATATTGGGGGGGTTAATCTGCAAATAATATGTCTTACCTGTTTGAACATGGTATCATGCAGTTTGGAAGAAGCACGCAATGTGACTTTAGTGAAGGTGTAGCCCTTGGCAATACACAGCAATACCATAGCAACAATAATAATGCCATAAATCATTTGGTAGAATGGCAGGTCTGGATTCTCGGACATATTACCGCTGCTTGATGAATTAGTATTGTTCTACAAGAACAGAGAGAGAAAACGGTATGATTTGATATTAAGATCGTAAGGTCGTGATGAGTCACATGAATGTGTTTGTACGTATTTACCCCTGATCCCTGCTCTAAGGTGCAGTCACATTAGTGAAATTTTGGCAAAATAATATCAACAGTGTTGCGATGCATGTAGCACAGCTCACACAGAATCACTTTTAATCCAAGCAGCTCTCTTGGTTAACAAGGCGAATCCGAATGACCAACCTGATCCCGTTGCAAAATCTGTGTGGAGGAAGTCTTTCGTCCTCACACAAAGTTCCAGATTCTGTGGACCCTTGAAATGACTGGACTGTTGAAATGACTGGATTCCACCCGCAAAAAAATTGCTAACCAATAATAAATGTGACCGCATCTTTAGTCTCTCTGATAGATCGAAATATTAGGAGGTGAATTGCAAGACAGACAGACCATCGCAATTGGAGTGTAAAAGAGTAGTTTAGTATGAAACTCTACATGATTTCACTATGGTAGTAAGCCTGAAGAGCTAAATTTACTGAGCAGGTCTCCGGACATAGACAGTTTGACACCACTTACCCATTCATCTTGAAATAACAAATGTAGCAAGTATTCATTTACCCGTGTCAGTCCTATCATTCTAGGAAGCTGCCCCTCACCTTTCTAACACGTGTAAATTACTAGATCCTCTTTTAGTGCCAAGAAGACAGTGAACCGTCTTTTTTTTGTTTGTTTGTTTGTTTGTTTTTTTTGCTTGTAATGACTTTTATTGGATGGGGTAAACTTCTGACTCTGGTCACAGTCTCAGCTGTAAAATTGTTGTTGAACATTGATTCTTTGTACTGATATGAATTGCTGCATCCTAAAAAATGTGGTACATGCTTGCTGTGTTATAGATATGCCAGTGTTATTCATGCCTGCTCTCTGAAACCTGATCTGGCAATACTTCCATATGGAGACCAGACAGAGGTCTGTTCCCACATTTTACCAACATCCAGTACTCTGATTAGATACTAATGCAATGAGCTATTAAATGTTTATAATACTAAGGAGTTCAGTTAAATAGCATATGAGGATGATAATATTACTTATGTGTGTGTGTGTGTCTAGATTGGAGAGCGAGGTATTAATCTTTCAGGTGGTCAGAAGCAGAGGGTCAGTTTGGCCAGGGCAGTGTATTCTAACAGAGACATCTTCCTTTTGGATGATCCTCTGTCTGCTGTTGATCCACATGTTGGGAAGCACATATTTGAAGAATGCATCAAGAAAGAGTTGAAGGGCAAATCAGTCATTCTGGTCACTCATCAGCTGCAGGTAATTCACTCTAACATGTTTCCATGTCCTGTTCATTGGCTTTGAAGGCCTCTTTTCTGTTTGAAGATTTGAGCTGTTAGTGGAGTAAATATTTGCTCTTACCAGATAACATATAGATATGTGATCCCCAATAGCTTCTGAAGACCAGAAAATATCAGGGAGTTTTAAATGATGTTTGTGGAAAAGACATGGACGTCAATACAATCTTAAAAGCCATTATATTATCTAACAAAAAAGCACAAAAAAAAAAAGATAATGTAGATTATTCTAGTTTTGATCTAAAATATTTAATTGACCAGTTATAGCTCTTGTGTACACAGAAACCTGCTCCAAAAATGACCTACGATAAATAAACTCTAGAAGTATTGCTGAGTTATAAGTTGCTTTTTGTCAACAGATGTTTCCAAGATTAAGGGGATATAGTTGAATGTACATGAAGTTAATATATAACCGGAGGAAAATACAATATAAAACAGGCATGGAAATGCACATAAACCTCACGTTGGCAGTTTCATGAAGTAAACAGTAATGATTCATTTGTGTTGTCGTAACACATTTAATGTGTAACCTCCTCAGGTTAGGAAAAGGGTCATCTAATTTTGCCTCACCGATTATGTAATGGCAGGAACAAAATTCACCATTAGAGAAAGCTCCAACCTTTTGTTGACTCATGTCAAACAGTAAGTCTTAGCAACTGTGTGACTCAGCACAGCTGCCTTTTAATGTGTAACTCTACACAATGATCCTAAAATCGTAACTTTTAACTAGTTATTCCCAGATTTGTTGTGCTCTCATCTCAACCGATGTTCTCAGCTGCTCCTCTCTGTTGTGTTTGCAGTATTTGGAGTTTTGTGATGAGGTGTTGCACACAATGACTCTAAACAGACCAATCCTACGGTGGCCGAGAGAGCTCAACGCGCTGCAACTTAAGAAAACACATGCAAATTGAAAAAACACCAGCAAATTAAGAAAACATCTTCATCAGTTTGACAACACACGCGCTGCAAATCCTCACAACACATGCAAATGAAGAAACGCGCTGCAAATCCTCACAACACAACCAAATAAGGAACGCGCTGCAAATAGCACGGACCACAACGGAAATGTTTCAAGGGGACCCAAAAAAGTGACGGACCCGGCTGGGATTTGTTTTTTTTATTTTTTTTTATATAATGCTTTATTATCAACACGTAGCATGCACAGTGCCATATCTCACTATATAACAAAAAAATTTCACATGCCTCAACAAGAAGGAACACGGAAAAAGAAAAGGAAAAAAATAAAATAAAATAAAAAAGAGGGTACATAAACATCAGTTTACAGAGAAATACATATTATACATATATTTACATTTCCATAGGATATTACAATGCAAATTTTAATACAGAAAATATACTTTGCAGGTCAGCACCATTATTATTATTATTGTTATTTTTTTATACATTATGTGAAAATGTTAAAGGAGGAGCATATATTAATCGTTTTAATTGCTTTACTATTTTTAGATTTTGACATCACATCTACAAACATTTTAATCTCTTTTCCAAGCACTATAAAAAGAGGTTTGCCTTTTGTAAACTTGCATTTATGAATGTGAAATTTACATAAAAATTTAATAAAATGTAAATAAAACCAACATCCTTTAAAGAGCGATCCTTGATATAATAACCCAAAATCACATGTTTATAAGATAAGGAAAATGTTTTTAAAATATTATCAGCAATGAAACCCTCCACATTATTCCAAAAATGCTGGGTATATTGGCAGGACCAAAACAAATGAGAAATTGTTTCAGTGGAGCATTCACAAAAAGAGCATTTTAAACCTACATCAATTTTAAATTTTTGTAGGAATTCTTTTGTTGGATAAACTCTATGAATTAATTTATATGAGATTTCCTTAACCTTATTTGTAAGGAGGAATTTTTGAGGTAACGACCAAACTTGAGTCCAATTTACATTATTAAAGATATTGTTCCAGTAGAAAATAACATAAGGCGTAGAAATATTCTCTTTTAAAAACAAGGATCTAATTTTATAGTTGTTAGGCTTTAACCCCGAGAAACAGATAGAGCCGACTAAGGTATGTTCAGGTCTAGGAGGACAGACAGAAAGTGCGGATGTACATACACTGCTTTTGAACAGCATATGTACACCTGCAGGAATGGCCCTAGTAAGCACCTTAAATTCTTTTAATTTTTTGGTGTTTGGCTTAGTGTTATGTTAGAATCATTATTATACTCATACCTTTTGTTCTTTTAATATTTTTGAATTGTTTTTAGCTTTATTTTTTTGTTTTTATTTAAATGTTTTAGTTTTGAAATGTTGTTGTATGCATTTGTCATTTTTATTTAATTTCTTTTATTTTCTTAAAAGCTTTTAGCTTTTCGTTTTAATTACTTTTTCTTATTTGTAAGTCGCTTTGGATAAAAGCGTCTGCTAAATGACTAAAAGTAAAAAGTAAAAGTAAGAACATTTTAAGTTCAGCATTGTGTTAAGGCTGGAGGATTATTCACGTGATTTCATAGTTGTAGGAGACGTTACAGTTTAAATATGCAGTTCCTACGCCTGCTAAATATCATTACATGTAACGACCATGCATTAATAAGCAATTCATCGCCTTATTTATTTTGGTAAAACTGACAAACTGCTAAAAACATCTTTATTTCTTTTCTCTTTCTAGCTTTTGATATGTCTGATGAGAAACATGTAACAAATGAATTACCCAAGGACTCCACAGAAGCAAAAGGTCGATATATGAACATATTCACAGTATAATCCTGAAAATATCCATTATATTCTTACTGGTTAAATCTGACTCGCACAATGGTGTGTATGTGTGTTACAGGGAAAAAGGATCAATTAGTAACACAGGAAGTGTCAGTTGAAGGTTCAGTTACGTGGAGGACTTACCACCAATACTGCAAAGCTGCCGGAGATGTTCTTTTTTTCTTCTTTCTCCACCTCTGTCTCTTTGTACATTACATTATCAATGCTGTAACACCGTTTCTCAATTATGCCTTTCTCTCTGTCTATATATCTCCGTAGGGTATATACTGCTGTTATTTGTTATTCTTCTCTTCACTCTTCCCGTGGGATCGACTGCTTTCAGCAGTTGGTGGCTGAGTTACTGGTTAGGACTGTGGGATGCTTTTATTCATATATCAGCTAAATCTGTATGATACATATACTCAGGGGCGTAGCCATCATTTCAGAAGTGAGGGGGACAGAAATGTTATGTGTATATATACAGTGGGTACGGAAAGTATTCAGACCCCCTTAAATTTTTCACTCTTTGTTATATTGCAGCCATTTGCTAAAATCATTTAAGTTAATTTTTTTTCCTCATTAATGTACACACAGCACCCCATATTGACAGAAAAACACAGAATTGTTGACATTTTTGCAGATTTATTAAAAAAGAAAAACAGAAATATCACATGGTCCTAAGTATTCACCCCCTTTGCTGTGACACTCATATATTTAACTCAGGTGCTGTCCATTCCTTCTGATCATCCTTGAGATGGTTCTACACCTTCATCTGAGTCCAGCTGTGTTTGATTATACCGATTGGACTTGATTAGGAAAGCCACACACCTATCTATATAAGACCTTACAGCTCACAGTGCATGTCAGAGCAAACGAGAATCATGAGGTCAAAGGAACTGCCTGAAGAGCTCAGAGACAGAATTGTGGCAAGGCACAGATCTGGCCAAGGTTACAAAAAAATTTCTGCTGCACTTAAGGTTCCTAAGAGCACAGTGGCCTCCATAATCCTTAAATGGAAGACATTTGGGACGACCAGAACCCTTCCTAGAGCTGGCCATCCGGCCAAACTGAGCTATCGGGGGAGAAGAGCCTTGGTGAGAGAGGTAAAGAACCACCCAAAGACCACTTTGGCTGACCTCCAGAGTTGCCAAACGTTTCTGTTTTTCTGAAAACAACTGTTTTCATACAGCGATAGCTGGACGCTTTTGTCCATATTAGGAATTTCTGAATGAATTGAATGAAACATACACTGCACGGAATGTTTAGCGCTCCGTGATGTTCATCTCGCCTTATTCTGGGTCCGAATAAAACATCAGATCATGCACAGACTATCCTGTCTCTTTGAATTTAAATCTATATTTATTCACACCGGCTCTTAAAAAAACCTCTATGCAAACACACTTGCCCGAAAAAGTGCGGCGGACGAATTTACCTGATATTAAAAGTGGGGGGGACACGTCCCCCGCGTAATCTACGCCCCTGCATATACTGTATGTTGATCATGAGATTTGATCATCTTTAAATCACTATATTTTCATGAAGGTTTCCCTTTTACCTTTCATGTAGTTCAGGTTGTAGAAGTTGTATCCAGATTTATTGTAGTTGAAAACCCATGTGGTCATGAGTAATTTCATGAACTTTACTGACACTTTTTATAAAAAAAACAAATATGTAATTGTTGACCAAAGTCTTTGACCTGTTTAGTCTTTGATGTTCTCTATAATTTCACCTGGTTTGGTCAAATGGTTCTCCCATGAGGATATTGTCCCTTACAGTCCCGTGGAATATCCAGGCTTGCTGGGACACATATGCTAATGTTCCATTAGCTGATACAGACCCACTCCGAAGATGCATCTGAAGGGAATAAATGATCATACTGTCAGCATACGTCATCACATCATATGTGAAACTGTTCGTTAGGATGCAGAAACGACAGAGGCACCACACCTGCTCAAGAATACTTGAAATCAGAGATGTTTTTCCACTTCCAACATTGCCACACACCCCAAGCAGACTTCCCTATAAACGAAAAGAGAGATTCAATAGTCTCTGCTGTAGTGCTAGAACACATCCTGAGTGTTGGAATGTTGGAATGTTATATCATCCCACGTTATAATATAGTCATATCACACCTTTGAAAGAGTGAAGCTGATGTTTCTGAGAGAAGGTTTGAAGTCTGATTGGTGTGTGCCACTTTCAGAGGGATCTTGAGGCTTCTCAGTGGCGTTCATGGTATCTGGCAGGCTCCAGGAGAAGGTGGCCTTTTCCATGGCCAGCGCCAAGTCCATATTCTTATCCTGTGTGAGATAACCTTTGGGGTTCTGTACCAACATAAGCTTCTGTAGAAATACAAGCATTAAAGGGGTCATATGATGCTTTTTTAAAGATCATTATTTTGTGTATTTGGTGTAACAGAATATGTTGACATGCTTTAATGTTCAAAAAACACATTATTTTTCAAATACTGTACATTATTGTAAGTCCTCTATGCCCCTCCTCTCTCAAACGCTTCGTTTTCTATTATTAGCAATTTACTGCTGAGTAAAATCAGGTTCATTCAAAATGTTCATTCAGTGTAAAAGACATGATTAACACGTGTCAGAGCATCAACCTACAGTACAGCACATGTAAAATACTCTGAAAATATGTTTACTACACACTTATCATTATGAGTAACTTATATAAACAATAATTACATCTTCCTCAATATGTCCTAAACTAATACCAGCTTAGAGCAGACAATGGGGCCAAAGGTACACAATCATTGGATTAAGGAGGATACGTTTTCAACAATGCTTTAGGTAAAAATGAGAGAAAATTATGTTTGGTTTTGGATAAACCGAGAGAAATGTGAAAGAGTCCAACCTTGAGTCTAGTGAGAGCCACTTTACCCTCAGCCGCCGCTTTAACAGAGAATGGCAACAAGCCCATAGACATCCTCATGCAGTTAAATACAGCAATGATAGTGTAGGCCTGTGGAGAAGCAATAAGATGGTTAGCGTAAAATACAACCGTATAAAAGTAATGAAGTAAAAATATTCACATTTATATTTACCGTACAAAAAGTCCACTGTTTTTGAAGTCAGCATTTATTTGATCAAAATACAGAAAAACAAATATACGGTAAAAATATAACAGTAAAAACTTTATTAACTATTGAAATATATTTTAAAATGTAATTTATTCCTGTGATGACAAGCAGCCATTACTCCAGTCAGCGTCACATGATCCTTCAGAAATCATTCTAATATGTTGAGTTGGTGTTCAAGTAACATGTTGAATAACAGCTTTGTGAAAACTGTGATACATATTTCTCAGAATTCTTTGATGAATATAAAGTTCAAAAGAAGGTTTGAAAAAATAGGTTTGAAAAAATAAGGTAAGAATGGATGAGAGAAAATACTTCATTTCAAAGAGTCATGAGTAAATAAAATAAAATGGATGGATGGACAACCTGTGACTGTTTTCTCAAAAGACTCCTCCCACGCATACATCTTAATGAGTTTGATGCAGGTCAGAACCTCATTCATAGTGCGAACACGTCTGTCTGTCACAGATACAGCCCGTCTTCTAAACACACCAATCAGTCTGGCAATTGAGAACTACAGCGCACACATACAGACACACAGGGAAAAATCAACAAAACATTACTAAGATGAGTAAATATCAAATGCCGATCTCAAAACACAGTACAGAAGAGACCAGCACACCTGTATTTGTAGGAAGATCAAGTAGACCAGAATTCCAATAAGCGCTGTGTATCCCAGAATGACGCAGGCATATATAATACATATGATCAGCAGGAACGGAACACACAGCAGAAACGTTCCAAACATGATTGCTTCAAACATCCGATAGCCATCACTCGTCAACACGTTTATCGTCTACACCAAAGCATGAACACAACAAGCTCTATTTGTATTGTATATCATTTAATTAATTAAAAAGTGATTGGTAAAAGAGGGTAAATAAACACAAATAAATTCCATATCAAATAACCAATAAATAGATTCTACAAACGATAAAAGGGCAATATTCACTGCTGAATCAACAATCAATAGCTTACCTCTCCTATACTAATGCTGGTTAGACTCCTGAGAGAGATGATTTTCTTGAAAGCGAGCATTGAGAAAGCTCCCTTCATTCTCACAGCGGTACGCAAATTCACAGCCCACAGGAGCGATGAAAAAAATGCCTTGCTAAATTCACTCAAGAACAGGGCCACACACAAACCGATGCCATGCAGCAGTGTAGATGACTCAGGCTGCTCAATGTAGCTCAGGATTTCATGCACTAAAATAGACTAGATAGGCAGATTTTTAAAAAAAACATAGTTTATAAGAAATCAAAATTGAGTTAGAACTACTTCATTCTACTTCATAGATAATTTGCCTTTAGTACAGTGACAATATAAATTAAACAACTTTACAATAGCACGCTTAATTTTTTCTCAAAAAAAAGTATAAATGGGTATTTATACATAAAAAATATACAGTTGCTACCACATTTTTGCAAGTGGGACCCTCAAAAGGGTATCATCTTCAATATAAAATATAGAGCAGTATAAGGAATATGAAAGTAATATGTTTTATTCATTTTTCAACAGAATGATGCTGTGTAATGCTAAGCCATTTTACATACCGGACCAACAAATGCTCCGAAAGCAAACAGGACAGAGACGAAGAATGACACTATAAATCTTGTCTTCTGGAAACGCATGACCACTGCAGGAAGAGATGCCTTCTCTAGACCCACATGGGCGACTTCCTCGTCCCAAAGTCTTTGGAACCTGAACACAACAGAAATCACAATCTTTTTTTTCCTCTCTCTCTCTCTCTCTCTCTCTCTCTCTCTCTCATTTTTTAAACATAATCCATTTGCCTGCAAATACAATTTTCCATAATCAACCTGGATATATGAAAAAACATCAGACGATGACTTATGGTTTCATATTCGCCAAGTGCTACACTGGAGCTACTCATTCTGCTGAGACTTCCTAAACTAAGCTAAGATTTGAATGGAAAGCTTATGAAGAATTTCCTTAATTGTTGACATTTGTACCTTTCTCCATTGATGTGGGCTCCATCATGAAGTGAGAGATAAAGTGAGTCCTCATCTAACCGTTTCCTAAAGAGCTTCCACATCATGGGTGACATCCATGCAAATGATGTGAAGGAGAAGAAACCAGCATCATCGACTGGATGTGAGCTGGAAAAAGTTAGAAAATGTACATTTAAGATTACGTTACGAATTCATCACATATTTGAAGATTCAGAAATGATATATGAATGACAGACTTGTTGATTAAAAACAGAAAAACTGGGGCATTTAATTTCTTAGCAATGATGAAAACATGTTCTTTTAGTTTTTTTTCTCTGATCTCTTGATGAAATGGACAGATCACTTTCATTATTGACATAAAAATGTAATGTGCTTAGAATATGTTGAGAAAGCTGGCGAATGTCTTACTGTGAGCCGACCCGGAATGGGATGAGGGTTTTCAAGCTTTGCTGGTACTTGTGTTTCTTAGGAGGAGGTTCTGGTTCCCTGTAATCTAGAACCGGAGGACCTTCAGGAAAGGCACTCATGACTGAAGCACTATCTCTTATCTGTTTCTGCACAATAAGAGAGAAAAACACAGAGATATGGATATCATAAAATAAAAGGAACTGTGAGTCAACATAAAAGTAAAATATACAGTCAGCATTTTACTTACAAAAGAAACTCCTTCCACATTCTGTTTCTCTGTGGAGTTCCTCATTTTTTTTCAGCAGTTCCTGTAGGTTATTAATCAAGAACTTTACATGAACATGAGGAAACGTGAAATATAATGTTTGAAATGAAGGAATAAATAAAAACAGCACCCTTTGCATCAAAGAGTAATAGTGTTATATTAATAGTAGTAAAAGTTACATACCCTTTACCTGCTGTCTTTGTCTGTGTACTGGTCAATGTATTTGTCAGGCTAATCACGAATGCCATAGTACTCTAGCAGCAATGTGCTTTAAAGTCTTTGACACTGAGTTGCATTACTATTTTACCAGACTCAAAGGTTAACATGAGCAGAGGTCTTGACACTCCTCCTCTGTCTCTCTCCTGTCACCACATGTAGGATGCTGCAAATCCAAAGTCATTTGATAACAGCCCTGAGGAAACTGACTCTGGGTGAGAAGGCAAAGACACAAGTATGTTCTTTTACCTCTGACAGTACTTTTCATATGTTTCTGTTGATGAGTGTCAGTCACCACAATTAAGGTCAAAATGAGTTACAGTTTCTACAAATGCTAATTTTATCATCGAATTGGCAGACTTTACACCTTTTATTTCTCTCAGCAACAGAAAGGGTACTAGGGCAAATGTGACCCTGGACCACAAATCCAGTCACAAGGGTCAATTTTTTTAAATTGAGATTTTTACATTATCTGAAAGCTGAATAAATAAGCTTTCCATTGATGTATGGTTTGTTAGGATAGGACAATATTTGACTGAGATACAACTATTTGAAAATCTGGAATCTGAGGGTGCAAAAAAAAATCTAAATACTAAGAAAACTGCCTTTAAAGTTGTCCAAATGAAGTTCTTAGCAATGCATATTACTAATCAAAAATTAAGTTTTGATATATTTACGGAAGGAAATTTACAAAATATCTTCATGGAACATGATCTTTACTTGTTGATTTTGATGAAAACTAAAAGAAAAATCGATCATTTTGACCCATACAATGTATTTTTGGCTATTGCTACAAATATACCCCAGCGACTTAAGACTGGTTTTGTGGTCCAGGGTCACAAATAACTTTTCAGGACAATTCTTTAATAAAAGAAACACCGGTCATTATTTGCAGTACAACATATTTCTTCAGCAATCTTGACAACTTACTGAACCCTAAAGCTTTATATCAATCAAAATGTGAGGTCTGTCCTGTATGTTTATATATTAACCATCATAACTTGTGATGGTGCACCTGACCTCAGTACAGGTCAATGCTGCTTTAAATGCCTTCTGAACTATGAACACTTATTTCTGATGAGTCAGTTTCGTTGGCATGACAGTTAACCTGCCCATGCCCTGCGTCATTAAGTTACATTTATGATTAACACGGTGTAAATAACATACTATTGTCATTTTAAAATGTCTTATTATCTTATCATTGGCTTATTCACACGTTCATAAGTTCTGGATTATTTTGCGTAGCTCAACACATCAAAGCACAAAAAGGAAGCAGCTGTCCAAAAGTACTAGCTACTCAACATCTTGTAAACTGTGTAGCAAAAGGAAAATATAACCATATAACCAAACTCGGCGCAGGTTTTTAGACCATCAAGCGATAGCCAGTATAGTACACATCTTGGTATAGGCCACCAAAAGTCGCCAACATTCACTTGTAACATTCACAACATTCACATTCACATTCACTTTCACTTTCACTTTCACAAGTCACTTTTCACTTTCAACATTCACATTCACTTTGGGGAAGTCGTGGCCTAATGGTTGGAGAGTCGGACTCGTAACCCAAAGGTTGCGGGTTCGAGTCTCATACCGGCAGGGATTGTAGGTGGGGGGAGTGAATGTACAGCGCTCTCTCCCACCTTCAATACCACGACTGAGATGCCCTTGAGCAAGGCACCGAACCCCCAACTGCTCCCCGGGCGCCGCAGCAAAAAATGGCTGCCCACTGCTCCGGGTGTGTGTTCACGGTGTGTGTGTTCACTGCTGTGTGTGTGCACTTTGGATGGGATAAATGCAGAGCACTAATTCCTAGTATGGGTCACCATACTTGGCCACATGTCACTTCACTCACTTCACTTCACTTGTATAGATGAGTAGCAACACGCTTAATACAAAATAGTTTTAGTGTATATTTTATAGCATACCAATGCTTTAATCGTTTTAATTATAACTTATTTATTATGTTTTAATTGAACTAATATTACATTACAAAAATAAATTCTGTTTTCGCATTACTGTTATCATAGCCTTTTTCTTAGGGTTCGCCAACAAATCCTCCTGCGCATGCGTTCTCGACATCATGTCATTCGTGCAGCAGTTCATTCGATTAAAAGCGTTCAAAGAGCTCTTACGTATTTAATTCAGGCGTAATTCCCCTTCCACCGGAAAATCAAATGTTTGGTTCAGCTTCTTTTGCGAACAAGTTCAAAAAGATTAACGGAAAAGGACCGATTCAAAATAACAATTCTACGTATTTGATATCTAACATCGTCTAAGGACTAAAGGAAAATTATAACAGAACAAGTGAAAATTGGGTTGCATCTGTCTCAGAACAGCTACAACTTGGCAGTACATAAATTAAAAGAAAAAGACTCGGCATATACTGTGGCTGCAGACATCAAAATATGTCCGAAATAATGCAATAAATACGTAACATCCTGTCTCCTTGGCATCCTGTCTAAAATGAGTTTATCTGATCTTTTTTTGAAAGCAGCATAGATGCTCCCTTCACTCCATCTATGCAGTAAATGATTTAATAAATGTTCCAGGAAATAAATATGGTAGCCAGTAAATATTTCCTTATGACCAAAACTCACAAGAATTTGTTCTAAATCATTAGTGATTTTAGTGCTGTTGAAGCCTGTCAAAACCAATTTCCTTTGGAGATACCTTCATACAAAACATGCTGTCTGTCTGACTGACTTGGCAGTCCATAGCCTGTGTTTGTAAATGCATATTATGTATGGACATTTGTGTTGTTAATTGGAAGTTTTATATGAGGTGAAATATCATTCTCATGTAAATGTAAATATTAATATATATAGCCCACATATACTCGGAAATTCTCAAAACAAGTATTTAACATGCTTATTATCAAACATTAGCAATATAGCATCATCATATTGATATAAAATTCTTTTTTTTTTTTTTTACTTATTGCATACAAGCCAGGAGCAAATCCTATATCAAAGAGAGAAAATTAAACAGAAAATAGAAAATACCTTGTGTGACTTAAAACTTCTAATTTTTCCGTGCACAGAACACAGGAAAAAGGAAATTCCTCCTTTCTTTTTGTGGTTAACTCGTGATACAGCATGTTTGTCTCCTAATTCAAGCAACAAGTGTTTCAGATCCACAAGCCTTGGAGTTTGCTCAGTGATGCTTGTTTTTCCACAACAACAGCTCTGTGTCTACTGACCAAACCATGTAAAACTCTCGTTCGCTCTCTCTGCTTTTCTTCAGTATAACAGAATGATAAAGACAGTCTCAAGATAAAAACTGTCCTATGAGTTCTTTTCACTCCATATACTTTGATTCGTGCTTGTATGTGTTTCGGACAGCCATTATCAATACAAAGAAAACCAAACTGCTGAAAAAGCAAAATGAGTTGATTAATTAGGAGGATGATACTGCCAATAATTAATATTTAAAACTGCTGGATATGGTGTGTAACTATATATTAATATACTGTATATACAGTATCTCACAGAAGTGAGTACACCCCTCACATTTTTGTAAATATTTTATTATATCTTTTCATGTGACAACACTGAAGAAATGACACTTTGCTACAATGTAAAGTAGTGAGTGTACAGCTTGTATAACAGTGTAAATTTGCTGTCCCCTCAAAATGTGAGGGGTGTACTCACTTCTGTGAAATACTGTATGTGTGTGTGTGTGTGTGTGTGTGTGTGTGTGTGTGTGTGTGTGTGTCATCTGCACAGATTAAGGCCAATTCACACCACACAGACAAACACCAGCAAACAAGTTGGCCGTTGGATCATTTTATGAAAAACAACTGTCAATTAACTTTACAATACTTTATAATAATACTTTGTAATTTGTAGTGCATTAACTAAATTGTTCATTAACACTGATGCATGCTGAGACCATTTTTTTTATACAACCAATAAAAATTATTCTGATTCTTAAAAATAAGCTCAATTTGACCACTTGAGGACGCTGTAAACCAATAAAAAAGGCTCCTGATTTTAGCCCTTTTATTATTGTACTTCTACCCAAGATGCAGGTGTCCATAGGTGCCTTAATATAAATTTAGATAATATGGGTTTGCATGATATTATGCTCTACATTAAAATGAAAAGATTTGAAGTAAACATAAACTGTTTATATATTGTGATGAATTTAACATTGGGACATTACGCAAAGTAGTAGCCTGGAGAGAGAGCAAGAAATCAAAGAAACACTATATATTCTTAGTCAGATCTAGTAGAGACATTACACAAAAGATTACTTTACTTTCATTTTAGTCATTTAGCAGACACTTTTATCCAAAGCGACTTACAAATGAGGACAATAATATATGATTAGGGGTCATTTTTTAGCAACAGTCACAAGACAAGAAGCATGTTGTGTAATGGTCTGCAAATGAAACAAACAGATAAGCATTGGTTTCAGTATCCATGACCAGTAGGGCTATTCTGTGAAACAACAATTTGTAGAGCAATAGTAATTAATGCTGTGCATGTGTTGAGTCGTACAGAAATGTTCAGCTTTGTGGATTTTGCCCTGTATTTATCATTCATAGTTTTACTTTGTGGTTCAATGGTGTGTTATTCAATCCCCTCATTCTTTCTGAGTAGGCTATTGCTCTTCCTTAAGCTCTCACTGGATTCATCTTAACGGTATGATTTTTTACATTTTAAAAAAGAATTTTCTTTATTGATCGTTGTACATTTGGGACAGTTTTTGCCATTGAGATGACTGGGGAAAATGTCCCAAATAAGTTGAATTTACACTATGTCATGTCTCAAAACAGAACTTGAAACTAAATTACCTGTATGGCAAATATATATATATATATTTATCATATTGATTTTTAATATATTCAAAGCATTTTCAATACATTTCAGTTACCTAAAATATGTAGATTTCCATGTTTATTTATAGTTTATTAAAGAATTTCATTAATCTGAAATGTATTTTTTAAGATTTAAAAATATTTTCTTGCTCCTTGAAATATATTATGGCATTTGAAAGATTACATGTAATAATAATAATAA